CTCTCTCTCTCTCTCTCTCTCTCTCTCTCTCTCTCTGTATTTGGTTGTTATAGGGTCTCACTACACATCTTGGACTCGTGGTGAGCCTCCTGCTTTCAGCCTCCCCAGTGCTGGGATTATAGGCGTGGGCCAGCATGCCCAGACTCTGGTGGGTCATTCTATTGTCCTACCTATTGTCCTACCTATTGTCTTTCTTAGAATAGCAAAAGAGGACTTGACAGGAAGGCACTGTCAGCCGAGATAGGATGATGGCAAGCATAACAGTAAGAAGAGACCCGCAGCTTCAGGCACATGGGACGATGCCAGACAGCAACTGTGTGTGGCATGGATGATCACCTGATTAACTGCAGGCCCAAGGCCTAGGGCAGAGGGCCCTTTCCGACGGACCTGCAGTCAGGATCAGGTAATCATCCATGGCCAGTGTTTAGCATTGTTAAGCAACAAGCGCCCCTGCAGCTGGGACTCTTGGTGATCCTCCTGTCTTGGTCTCCCCAGCACGGGATTACAGACATGCACCACCTCGCCTGATCTCAGTGGCCAGCTCAGCATGCCTGAGGATGGAGCCAGCATGGACAGCTTAGGCAGCCAAGCTATGTCCCTAGCCCTAGTATTTATATATATTTTAAAGCTTTAGAAACCCTTCCCATACTCTTCTAAACCTTTCCCACACTTTTAATAACACTTCTAATGTTCTTAACCATTTTCTAAACTCAGAAACCTGTGTAGTTTTGACAATATACATATACTATACAGTATGTATTCATCCCCTAAAGAAATATATACTGTAAACAGTTTATTTTGATTTAATATTCTTTTAATACATTACAATTGAGAAGGTCAAATAGCTCAGTGAATTAAAGCACTGGTTTAGGCAGAAACAGGAGCTGGGAGCTCAATCCCAGGGCATGCTGAGATGGTGATTGAGACTGGGCGTAGTGGCGCGTGTCTGTAATCCCAGTACTTGGGAGGCTGGAACAGGAGAATCACTATGAATCATAGTGAGACCCTGGAGACCCTGTACTAAATACAAAAAAAAGCTAGGATTAA